CTGAACCCCTCCTCCCTCCTCCCCACCACCTCACAGTAGGAGGTGCCCTCTGTGCTTCGGGATTTCCTCCAAGCAGCAAGATGGTATAGGAAGAGTAGGGCCTGAGGTGGCCTGGTGGCCTGTGGGGGGACAAGGCAGCAGAGCAGCTAAGTCACCTGGGCCTGATACCCTGGGGCTTTGCTCTGTGGTCGTCTGCAAATTGTATCACCCTCTGTTCACCGTTCTGTGCCCTTTGGACTTATTCTCCCTCTCTGTGGCACCCGGAGCACAGAAAGACTCCTCTCCCTTCAGCAGCCTGACTGAAAATCAGGGCTTTTCTCAACTGCTGCTTTTTCCCTTTGACAGCCTTTCCGCAGCCAATGGAGAGAAGGGGCAGGATAATCCCAACTCACCTGTTTAAGGGAAAAGACCACATCTCATGGGGATAGGGGAGGGGCTGCAGAGTGGGGATGAGAACTTCAGCCATTTGGGTCAGGTCTTTGAGAATGGACATTCGGGGCGTCGAGGTGATAAATGGAATATTTATAAGTGGAACGGAATATGTATAAATGGAATATTTCCTGCCATATCAACAAACAAAGGATGTCACAGTCACCAATGGTTGCAGCCCTCCAGCGTGAGCTGGTGAGCCCTGAGGAAACTCAGGGTGTGAAAATACGGGCCCCAGGGAGCTAAGGTGCCTATCAAAGGAATGATTTCAGTGAGCCCAGACTCTTGCATCTTCCCATCCATAGAAAAGTGCTAAATTCCTTAACTTGAGATGTCTGGTTTTCTTTATTTAACAATAATCTTTTGACGTTCCCAATTACCTGCTCTTTGTTGCAAAACTCCTATATATCCTGGTTCCCCCCTCACCTACCCGAGCAGTTTATCACAGTTACCTGAAACGCTGTCTCCCCGGCTGCAGTCCTCTTTTTGCCCCAAATAAAACTTAACTCGCAACTCTCACGTGTGCCTTTGTTTAAGTCAACTGAGGCATCATGGGGTTCCAATTCCGTTTCTGACAAATCCAGCTCCACCGCATCCCAAAGTCCCCATGCCCCACCCCCTCCCACCCACTGTTGCTAAATTTAAACCCTCATCTGTCCTTTTCCTGTAGGACCGGGGTATTTTAGGGAGCGACAGCGTGGTGCCGCAGTTGATGCCGTGACACCAGCGCTGTGAAAATAAGCGTGCCAGCTCCCCTCGTGGGTCAGAGGCGCCCGCCCGCCCCGGACTCGCAGATCTCCTTCCGCACCGTCTCCCTTCCTCCTGTTCCTCGTCTCTCCGAGAGGGGGCGCCCTTTGAGGGAAGCCTCGGCAGGACGCTGGGTGAGAAGAGGACTCGCAGGGAGGCGAGGTCCAGGACCCCAGAACCCACAGCGCACCGAGGAACACTGTGGATGCAATCTCAGTTCATTCTACAGACACCCGGGAACATCCCAGGGTCTGGGGATTTCACCCATCAACGCAGTCCAGAGGAGCCCTGAGGGGGCCCAGGGGACATACCTTGGGGCCCAAGGTGGAGATTAAAATCTAAGGGGAATACGAGATCTTCCCCGCCGCCAGGGCAGGGGCTGGCGGCTGGGGAAATGCGAGTTTCAGGATTGTTGCTGATGGTACATCAGCCTGAAGGTTGCAGGGTGGTATGCTCCTGAACTGGGCAGAGACCTGGTGTGTGAGCGCTTTTGTGTGTGTGTGTGTGTGCGTCTCCGCCCACCCGCCCGGAAGACACAAAAGTGAGCTTTCAGGTCTCCGGTCTGGTAACAGGAAGCAGAACGCATTTGGTTCTTGAGTGCTAGGTTACCGTCTCCGCCTGTACAGCCCGGCTTCTCCCAAGGCCTAGTTTCTCCATCGTGCACTTTTCAGGAAGCTCGTTAATTTTCACTGCAGAGAGTGGACTGCAGAGGAAAACAGCCTTTCAGTGCAAAAGAAAAGACTTGAGTGAGGCCAAAGGAGATGTTTGCTGTTTCAAATTAAACGGGAAGAGGGAAATTGGAAACCCTGCCCAAGGCCTGGCATCCTGGGCCTTTGGCATCTTCTGTGAGGGACGTTGGGGAAGAACTTTCCAGGAGACCTTGAGCAACAAAATAAAAACCCATTTGGACTCCTGCCTGCTGCCCTTTCTCTGCATGATGGGGGATGGCATTCCTGTTGCCTATTTCCAGTGTGTGGTGTGTGTGTGTGTGTGTGTGTGTGTGACAGAGACAGTGAGAGAGGAAGGTGGGCCCACGAGCAAGAGCAGTAATTTGGGGCATGTGTGGCTGTGGGGACACAAGGGCTTCAAAGTCTTCTCCAGGCACCCACGCTCCTGCTGACACTGACCCCATCACGACACGACCCCCCAGCTGTCATGCAGGGAGGGGCTGGCAACCATGGGCTGGCCTCTGGAGTGTCAACACTGACGGTGAAAAGGACGGACAGGAGGGACTTCCCTGGTGGTCCAGTGGTAAAGCCTCTGTGCTTCCACTGCAGGAGGCATGGGATCGATCCCTGGTCAGGGAAGTTCTGCATGCCTCACGCTTCAACCAAAAAAAAAAGGGGAGGGACAGGAAACGTTACACCTATAAGACACAGTCAGCGCTCGGTGGTTCTGACCCTGGAGAGTGTCTGGAAAATGAATGCAGAACGGCGCATTTCAGAAGAAACCCTGCGTGGTCCCAGAGACAGATGATCCAGGAAGGCTGGGAGCTGGGCAGATGCTAAGAGATGGACTCTGTGCTGCTGATACGTGTGTACTCAAGAGAGGGACAGAGGGCCCTGCAAGCTCGCCCTCTTCCCCACCCGACAGCTGGGGCTTGAACTTGAATGAAGACCCCAGCTCCCGAGTCTCAAGCCACAGTGTAGGGGCTCCAAGGGCAAACACTTGGCTTTGGCTGCCCTTCACGGGAAGCTGTGGTCCCTGAGGCCAGGGGTGTGTGAGGACTAGAGGGGACGGTAAGGGTGGGTGGGCGGTGAGCACCCTGAAATTTAAGACCGTACATTAAAAGCTCTCTCTCACACCCCATCAGTGCTGAGGCTCCGGATGTCTGAAGGCTCTGCCCGTTGAGCCATCACTCTGAGCCTCTGAGCAACTCCAGGTAGAACAGGCAGGGCTGCCCCCCACGTGTTATTGCCACAGACATGGAAACGTGACCTTGGCATCTGCGGGGGCCCCTCCAGGAGAGGCTGCTGCAGGCACCTGCTGGGCCACCGCTGTCCTCTGTGCACTGGCCCCTGGGCCAGAGGGCCATCAGGGCATCGCCATTCTCCCCTCCTACCAATATGTCTTTTCTCTTTTTTTTTTTTTTTTTTGTGGTACGCGGGCCTCTCACTGTTGTGGTCTCTCCTATTGCGGAGCACAGGCTCCGGACGCACAGGCTCAGCGGCCATGGCTCACGGGCCCAGCCGCTCCACTGCATGTGAGATCTTCCCGGACCGGGGCAGGAACCCGTGTCCCCTGCATCGGCAGGCGGACTCTCAACCACTGCGCCACCAGGGAAGCCCCCATCTTTTCTATTATAATCAGTCTGAGAGCTACACACGTCACCTCATTCATCATTTATGGAGCCCCTACTGCACGCCAGGCCCTGTGTGAGTTCTGAGAATACAGCGAATCTGGTGGTGGAGACAGACGTGCACCACCACGTAGTAAGGAGGGCTGTGATGGAGGTGTGAACAAGAGGTGCCAGGGCACAGAAGACTTCCTGGAAGAGGCAACGCTGGAACGAGGTCTTCAGTGATAAGGAGAAGATTGCTAGGCACACGGGGGGAAGGGCCATGCTAGACAGAGGGAACGGGACATGCGAAGACAGAGGCGGGAAGGAGTAGGACAAGTTTGGTGAAGGACTAGTGGTTTGTGTGACTAACACCCAGGTGTGCAGGGGTGGTGGCAGAGAGGGGCAGGGAGGTAGGGAGGGGGGTTGAGGGGCCTCTCAAGGTGTCGGGACTTGACCCTGGCAATGATATGGAAGGTTCTAGAAGGAGAGCTACACTTTATAAAAGTCACTCGGACCCAGAGGCGGGTGGAGTGGAGCAAAACACGGGAGGCAAGGAGAAGAGGTAGCAGGCAGCAGGGAAGCTCCTGCAATAGACCAGGCAGGCATCGAAGACAGTATGATCAAGGCAGTGGCAGCAGTAGGGGAAGAGAAAGAAAAGACACACGTGAGAGATTTTAAGGGGTAAAAATGAGAAGGTTTAGTCATCATTTGGACATGAGGTTAAGGGAGAGGGAGAAATCCAGACTGGCTCCCAGGTTTCTGCTTAGGTAACTGGGAGAAAGGTGAAAGGGACAGGTAACAGAAGAGAGCAGAACCCGGGACAAGGTTGCGTTTAGGCACAGGATGTCCTAGGGGAACTGCCAATAGTAGTTGGGTGGGAGGTCTGGGTGGGAGATTAAGTATGGACATCAATACATGGCTAGTGGCTGAAGCCAGGGGGAAGAATGGGCGCCTGGCAGAAGTAAGGCCAGGCACAGGTGGTGCACGCAGCGGGCCAGTAAGCTCCACTTCCACCCCACTGTGTCCATGAGAACCACAGAGAAGTAGGGGAAACATTACTGATACTCAAACACCCCATCCCACAGAAAGGCATTAAGACCTGGATCTCTAGTCTTTCCTGGGGCCGGGACAGCACAGGAAGGATGCTCCCCTACAGCACACTCTTCTGAAATAACCCCATCTGGTTCCCGCCCCTTACAGCCTGGGGGACATGTCTCAGAGCCCGTTCTCTCTTATTACAAACAGCAGGGTTGGGCTTCCCTGGTGGCGCAGTGGTTAAGAAACCACCTGCCAATGCAGGGGACACGGGTTCGAGCCCTGGTCCGGGAAGATCCCACATGCCGCGGAGCAACTAGGCCCATGCGCCACAACTACTGAAGCCCGCGCACCTAGAGCCCGTGCTCCGCAACAAGAGAAGCCACTGCAATGAGAAGCCCACGCACCGCCACAAAGAGTAGCCCCAGCTCGCAGCAATTAGAGACAGCCGGTGCGCAGCAACGAAGACCCAACGCAGCCATAAATAAATAAATAAATTTATAAAAAACAAATAGCAGGGCTGCCTGCACTCTCTCCCTAGACTCCGCGGGCAGGGCGCCCCGGCACCCCAGCCTGAAAATTCCAAGAGATGGGGAGTTGCCCCAGCCCCCCAGGCGGAAACTTCCAAGAGATGGGGAGGGGTTGACAATGTCCCCCACAAAGATCCAGAGTCTGCGGCATTCCCTCAGTTGTCTATACTCTTCCCACAGGTGCTGAGGGAAGGAGACAGTGGGAAACAACCAGCCCTGCCCCTTACTTCAGCTCAGAGGCCGAAGGGGCCCGAGACCCCAGAGCTGCCACCCGCACAGCGCCCACCGGGGATCAGCCAGGCCAGAGGCAGCTCACCGAGCTTTTTTCTGGTTGTTTTATTTGAAAACCCTAGGGTGTGTCCCCTTCCTCAGCACACCCATCCCTACCCTAACCCCAAGACGTGACGATGCCACACGCACACGAGGCTGTGAGCTGCACACGGAACACAGGGGCTGCGCTCACGACGACATGAAAAAATATACATTATATATAATACACCCGGGGCCCCTACAAGCCAGCCACAGCCGGGTCCTGTAGGAAGGGCAGGGGCCGTAGGACCTCAGGCAAGGAGAGGAGGGAAGGGGGCCAGGAGGAGAAGCAGGGATCCCCAGAAGGAAATGGAGAGAGGCGGGCTCATAAGAGAAGCAGGGAAGGCCCGGCTGGGGGTCTGGTGGGGGTCTCCGTGGACAGGAGAGTAGGCAGGGGCAGGGTACAGGGTTTCCTTCAGTCCGCCCTACAACCCATACAGCGCGTGGCCGGCATGGGGAGAGACAGACAGGGGTGAGCGAAGGAGCCGGCTGCCTGCCAGTCTCCCACCCCGGGGGTGGGGGGGGGGGGGGGGGGGGGGGGAGCCCAGGGGCTCGTGGGGGGGGGGGCTAGGGGAGAGGGGGAGGGGGTGGGCTCCGGTAGGGCCACGGGGTTCTGAGATTAAAGGATGACTCTTCCAAGAGCTGCTCCCTCTGGGTCTCTCTTCTCTCAGCGTGTCCTCCTCTCTCTTCGGGGGGGTGTCTGTCTCACCAGGGCGGAATCCTCTCTCTGTCTGGGGAGGGGTGGAGGCCTTAGTAGCGGTGAGGGGGGGTCTCGATGATGCGTCTCTCGTCGCTGCTGGGCGAGTCGGCTGCCTCGGAGTCGCTGCTGTCCTCGTCCTCCTGCTGGCTGCCCGCAGCGCCCGCCATGGAGGTCTGCCGGCCCTGGTAGGACTGGGGACGGCAGGGAGAGGGGGAGCTCAGCGGGAGTCCGCATGCTGGCAGTGCGCCCCAGCTGCGCCCCGACGCTGCCGACACGCCCCGCCCCCCCGCCCCCGCGCACCTCCATGGGGTTCACGATAATGGTGAGAGCTGAGTCATCCCAGAAGAGGTCGGGATCCTTGGGGTCACTGGAGCCCCCCGGGGGCCCGCCGGCCCCCGAGACACGGCGGTGCAGCGAGTGGATGCGCACGAGGCCCAGGACGACCATGAGCACCAGGAAGCCCACGCACACCACGATGATGAGGGTCGCAGCACTCGGGACCACTGCGGGGAGAGCCAGGCGCACCTGAGCACACTCCGCTCAGGGGCGGAGTCGGGGGCCTGGGCAGAGGGAGTCCCCGAGCAGAAGGCAGGGTCCATGATGGCCCAGAAGAGGGGTCTGCCCTGCAGAAGCTGGAGGAAAAGTAGAGCTCCCCCCGGGGAAGGGCGGAGACGGGGAGGGACAGAGAGCCTGAGGGAGGGAGATCTGCAGAGGAGGCCAGGGCAGGGGGAAGAGAAGGGCTCCCAGCCCAACGCTGTCCTGAGCAGCCCTGTTCTCAGCGCACAGAGGGCAAGGCCTGGGCCCTGCCGGGTCCTTCTGCCTGTGCCTTCCCCAGGGACCACGTAGTCCAGGAGGGAGGTCCCCAGAGTCCAGCGGGGAAAGGAGAGAGGCGGCCACACAGGCTTGACAGTGCAAGAGGAGAGAATGTTCTTTCTCCTGCATCGTAATAGGAGGAGCAAGCTCCAAGCGTGGCCTGGCACCCAAGCTGGGCACAGGTCCAGGGCACAGAGAGCAGCCCCTTCACGCGCCCACCTGGACAGAGCTCACCCCTGCTCAGTAACACCTCCCATCTCCTTGCGGGCTCGAGCCTCCTGGACACCTGGGGCCTCTGCTCCCCTTGGGGTACACCCACCTCCCCCTCGGCCCTGTCAAGCCTCTGGGCCCGCAGCCTCACTTTGAAGCCCGGGCTCAGGGGGCCGTGGACTCTGAAGGGCAGTGAGACGCAGAAGGGCGAGTGGACCCTCACTCGGACCTTAGAGCTGATGGCAGCAAAGCAGACATGCAGGCGCAGGTACGCGCCCAGGAAGAGCGTGTGGGCACCCAGCTGGACCGGGCTCACCGTGCCCCACACCTGCACCGGGCCTCTGCCGGCCTGCACAGCTGCCCACACCAGCCACCTGGAGACCTGCTCGCACGGCAGCATCAAAGGGACGCGCCTGAGGGTCTCCACCAAGGCACAGGAGAGCCACACGTGCAGTGCCACCCAGCTCCCCGCCAGCTGGGCAGACCAGGAGAACCCCTGCAGGAAGGTGTAAACGCCACAGACCTGGGCCCTGAGGGCCACAGAGCCAACAGCCGTGAGCACAGCCTTGCCCACCTCCTGTACACACACACACATGCACACACACACACGAATTTACCCACAGCCTCTAAGACTCACATGCTGAAAGACAGAGCAGAGCGCAGGGAGCTCCCCACCCCTGCGGCACACCCATCCTCCAGCAGCACACACACGCTGCCACGCGCTCCAGAGCCACCCAGGTGTGGGAGCACCCCCACCTGAGTAGCCATACTACCCTCACCCCTCCCTGAGGCCGCCCTGACGGCGCTCTGCCAGGTCGGTCCCCAGCCTGACCTGACCCATAGCCCACCTGGGGCCAACGAGAGCTGACTCTGCTGAGCAGGCCAGGTGGGCCCCCGGGCACTGGCTCCGGGGAGAGACAGGCCTGGCTGGATGAGAATTTCTCAACTGTCTGGGGATGGGGGAAGAGACGGGGGAGGCAGAGTTGCCCTTTCTGCTCCTCTGTAGGCAACAGCCCCTCCCGCGTCTTCGTGTCAGTGGGCAAGATCCGAGGGCAGTGACCCCACCAGCAGAATGCCCCTGTGGCTAAGCCCAGGCTCTAGAAGGAGCAGAAACCCCTCCTCAGAGTGGAGGCCATAGCAGGTGAACTCGCTCTAGGGGCACAGTGATGACGAGCCAAAGCTGCTGTTCTGTGTCTTAATCAAATGCATTTGCTCCTCTGAGCCCCTGGCCTGGTGACGGAAGTGACAAGTTGACTGCCTGGAATAAGAAATGACCACAAGAAAGACAAAAGGCAGACCCTCTATCTGCAGGCAGACAAGTATGGTTAGTTTCTAATCAGCCAGGAGGCCAGGGAGATGGGAGGATTTTTAAATTAGTTACAGACAAAAATCAAGAGTTTAGGAAGTACCGTCAACCTTTCTTTCTACATTAGACCCAAGCAGTTGATTCTGGCCTTGAATGACCTCCAAGGACAACACGAAGGGGTGTTTCAGTTTTAGCCAGTGGCCCGTGTGAAACTCCTGGTTCCGTGTGATTGTGAGACAGGGTTGAAGCCCTGTCCACAGCCCCACGTGGAGCCCCCTTTCTGAAGAGCCTAGAGAGAAACGTCCTTCCGCTCTGGGTCCCCGGGCTTCTCCTGAAGCACTGGTTGGTCCCATCCTAGGACTTTCCTAACTGCTCAGCTTCCCTTCTGCTTCAGCTACGAGGAAGCTCAGAGTCCAAATGCTGGCCATTCTAGCAACGTCCCAGCATCTCACAGCAGGTATTTTATGAACTGACTTATCCCTTGGCTTCATCGTCTTCCTTCCTCATTGTCCTTTCCTCCTCGCTTCCAATTTCATTTTCTATTTGTATCCTATCGCACTGCAGGTCTTTCCGCAAAGTCTCGGATACATGTAGGTAACAAACTGGGAAATGGTTCCAAACTTGGCTGCACGTTGGAATCACCTGCGGATCTTTAAACTCCCCTGATACCTGGCCCCCGACCCCAGACCTTCTGATTGGACTGGTCTGGGTATGGCCTAGGCACCAAGCGTTTTTACTGTTCCCCAGGCGATTGTGATGTGCACCAACATTTGGGAAGACTGGATAAATGTTGTCTTCATCGCTCATCTTACCCTTCTCAGACAGCCTCGTTCTCCCTAAACACAGCTCCCCCATACCACCCACCCACCCTCAGTTCTCAAACTCTCATTCTCCCTCACGTCCATCTACGCTTCTACCCTTCAAGGTCCAAGCTCAAGGTCTGAATGCACCACCGGACCTTCCCCGGCTGACTGTCCTGGTTCACACTGATCTCTCTTTCCTCATGCACTTGGGAGCTTCAGAGAAATGAAGCCCCTGTCTCGTTGGAGGGAATTCTATCTCTTGCTCTTTTGCATGGTCAGAGTAATTTGAAATTGCAAAACCACAATCCTGTAACTCCACTCTTGGGGCTGGGAGGGAGGGGAAAGGGAGAGAACACCTTGAAGAGTCAGGAAGGGCACATAGAACAGGTTTGATGAAATGGATCTCCTGATAAGCTCAGGAGATGTCAATCACCAGGGCCCTCAGGTGAACTATGAACTCTGTGTCCTACTCAGGCCAAAGTCAGGGGAAAAGGCAAAAGCAGGCTGCCGCTCTCAGGTGGGATCTCAGAGCAAGCAGAGAAAACAAGGGTGAGAGACTTACCGAGCCCAGCAGCAACGCCAACCTGGACGCGCCTTGAGCCTAATCTGAGTGGCAGAACCCAGTATCCAGCCCCGAAGAGGCTGAGTGGGATGATTCCCAGTGAAAGAACTGGAGGAAGAGCTAGGGAGTTTTGGCCCCAAAAGTCTATTTAACAAAAACAGGTTTAGTTCACTCACACACCTCTAAAGCTTCCTAGAACCTTTGCAACTTGGTTACGCCTTACACTCCCTCCTCACACCTACTTCCATCTGCTTTGCTGTAGGAATCACAGGAAGAACACTTAAAAAGGCGTCTGCAGTTGTTTTCAGAAAGAGCAAGGATGAAGGGAGCCAGCCCCAGGGAAAGGGAAACACAAGAGACAGTGCAGTGGTGGCCACTGCCCAAGGAGAGGAAAACAGACTGAACTCCGGGGGTACCAGGGAGCTAGCCTCAGTCAAAGACATACTGGGAAGCCCTAAGGAGCTCCCCCAAATTAGGTGCAACTATAAAGTAACGAGACTTTTTTTTTAAAGCATCAAACATAAATGGACAGGGTATAGAGGGTGATGGTTAGAGCACGGGCTCTGGAATCCTGCTGCCTGGATTCGAATCCTGGCTCCACCGTGTTTTAGCTGTGTGACCTTGGATAAGGTACTTAACCTCTCTGGGCCTCCATTTCTTTGCCTTTAGAGGGGATAATTCTAGTACCTATTCCATCTTTTGTCTGTAATGATTCACTGGGTTAATAGGTATAAAGCCCACGGGCAGGGTGCCTGGCACACCGATGTGTTCATTATTCTTCCGATTACATGGTTGATGTGCGAGCTGTCCTTTCAGGGTAGGGTTCAGTGACCATGACCTCCCAAGAAAGCATTTTTGGAACTCTTTAGGGAATTGCCTTCAGAGCCTGAGATACGCCTTTTGACTTTTTAAAAAAGTGACAAATCTCTGCCCTTTGAGAGTTGGTTTTATGTTTACAAACACAGAGCCAACTCTGACAAAAGTGGATGCTGAAGTCGGGTAATACTGAACTGGGCCAAAGGCAAGGTGTGTACCAAAAGGAACAAAAATAAATGCATCTCATAAATTGACTTTGAAAGCAATTCTCAGAAGGGATTCCAAAAATCACTTCCAGCAACTTCAGAATCATTGCAGTCTTTAACAATGGGGGAGAAGACTCATTTTATAATATTAGGTGTAAATATTAGGTTACAAAATAGTTTGATCCCAAGTTTGTTAAAAGAAAAAAAAATTACAGGCACAGACAAAAGTTGGCACATAATAATAACACCATATTAACAATGGCCAATTGTGGTGGAATTATGGCTGACTTTTCTTCTTTATACTTACAGTTTCTAGTTTTTCTATAATTAAGTAACTCTTAAATTGTGAATTAAAAACTGCATCACTAGTAAACAATCATGGCCAGGGAATGAGATTGCTTTGAAGGGCAGCGCTCCAGCTGGATGTAATACTTGGCGTGTTTGCATATTTTGTTTTAGAAACAGTCTTATGACTTTATAGTTAGCACATAATTACACACGCAATAGCACCAACTTTCTCCTTGAGGATAGGAACTGTATCTATCCTATAAATTTTGTATTCTTAACTGTATTGTGGACAGTGCTAGTACACAGTAGGTGCTTAATACATACTTGGTAGCTTCACTATTGAGGATCCCTAGGTCCAGGGCTAACTTGATATTGTTGGGGGAGGGCAGCAGGAACAACAAAGGCTAAACCCACACTGACCATGATCCCAGGCATGAGTGCCCCTGTGATGACCCAAGGCTCGGACTCTCCACTAGGCAAAGTGAATCATCTGGGGGATAAAGGGATTGGATCACGGCCGTCAACTAAGTCAAGTTCCACAGGGAACAGAATCCATGGCTCCACCCCGTTCCTCCCCCCACCCCACCCCCACGGCCCAGTGGTGGAGGGGAGGACGCTCGTGCCCACCCACTCCCTCCACCCACCCGCCCGGCTGGACCCACGCAGCCTTACGTACTGGAGTTCCGGTGGGAGCTGGCCAGACTGTGTCCAGCCATCTCAGGTGGGGGCTGGTGACCTCGGTGCAGGAACTGCTGGGAGCTGAGCATGTGGCTGGGGTGAGTGACCCGGTTCACGCTGTGCAGGACGCTGACCTGGGGCGAGGGCAGGCTCAGTGGGCACGCTCGCTTCTCCCCGGCCCTCCTCCAGCCCCCGAGGGCCCAGCTCTCCCCCGCTGCCCTCCAGCTTCCCCACCGGGGCCAGGAGTCCCCTGGGCTGCAATTTCCATCCCCACGCACCAGCAGGTTCAGTCCATCCCACCCCGGCTCCTCGCCAGCGGGGTTGGCTGTGGAAGGAAGGGGACTCTGGGTACCTCCACGACGAATTCATTGCTGGAGTAACGCCCATTCATTTCTGAGCAGGAAAGCCGGAACTTCCTGGCATAGAGGGCAGCCCCGCGTCGCAGCCGGTAACGAGCCAGCCTCAGGATCTCTTCATACACAGTGATGCCCTCCACCCCTGGCGACCAGGAGGCAGCTCAGGGCAGGAGCCAGCGAAGAGGCCTGGAGTCTCTCTCCCAGACTCCCACCAGCTGCCACCCCTCAACAGGGGTGCGACCCGAGTTCTCAGATGGAGAGACGCTCCCCTGCATCCCCACCAGCTCCGACTGACTGGGATAGAGTAACCGAGGCTCCATTTCTGCCTCCGCCCTCCTCTGAGAGCTGGGAGGAGGGATGGAGAGAAGGAAATAGGAACACCCTGCAGGACAGAGGGAGGTGGCAGCAGGGGGGAAACGGAGAGAGGATAACACAGAAGTTCTCGGTGAGGCTCTGGAAGGGAACGGAAACAGGAAGGAACTGACCGCCTCATCTTCTATTCTCCCTGATGGAGCGTCCTTCAGAGAGGATGAGGCTTCCCTGGGAAGCTACCAACAAATCATTACCACCAGATGGTAAGAGATGAGCACTAGACTTAAAGCTGTGCTGTGTCCATGAGATTAGTGAGACGCAAGACAGAGAAGAGGGCAAGTACCAAACGGCTAGAGGATTAGAAAGCTACTCAGAGGACTTCCCTGGTGGCACAGTGGTTAAGAATCCGCCTGCCAATGCAGGGGACACGCTTCGATCCCTGGTCCGGGAAGATGCCACATGCCACAGAGCAACTAAGCCTGTGCGCCACTACTACTGAGCCTGCGCTCTAGAGCCCGCGAGCCACAGCTACTGAGCCTGTGTGCCACAACTACCAAAGCCCACGTGCCTACAGCCCATGCTCCACAACAAGAGAAGCCACCGCAGTGAGAAGCCTGCGCACCGCAACAAAGAGTAGCCCCCGCTCGCCACAACTAGAGAAAGCCCGTGCGCAGCAACAATGAAGACCCAATGCAGCCAAAAATAAATAAATAACTTTAAAAAAAAAGAAAGCTATTCAGAGACTGAGCCAAAGAAGAGTGGAGACCAAAGTGGAGGTGAGCTGGGATGGAGAGAGAAGCTGGGAAAGAACCATCAGGAGCCTCAACCCCAGCCACCACCTCTAGGGACAATCCGAAAGCCAGAGGACATTCCAGGCAGGGAAGGTGCAAGGGGGCACTTGGCCACATCCCTGAGCCTGGAAGGAGGACCCTCTGAGTTTCCCAGAGACTTGACCATGGGGAGGGGCGCACCCAAGGAAAGAGGACAGGTTCTTGGGCCCCACTGACCGGCAATGGTGAGGTAGGCAGACGTGTTGGTGAGCTCCAAGCCTCGCTGCTGCAAGGACGCCACGTCCAGGAGCAGGCTTTCCCGCTCGGGGTCCAGGTCATCCCCCACCAGAGAAATCTCACAGCCATCCAGGTTGTGCACGATCTCATCCGACATGCGTGTGTCTGTCACTGGACAGGAGGCAGTCAGGATGTGGGTCAGAGCTGAAGGGCCCACCTCATGGCCACGCTTCCTCCCCTCCCGGGGTCATCCCCTGAGAGCTGCCAGCATCATTGTCAACAACGTCACTACCCATCAACCTTCTGACACCCGGGGGTCTCCCGCTGGCTCTCGTTCCTAACAGTCAGTGGTTCTAGAAAAGTGAATGAGGGATGTTGTCGCTCTCATGGCCAGCCCCAGAGCTTCTCCTTCACTCTGGTTCCAGACACGGACCCCTTCTCTGGACACTATCACTCCTTGAGGTCACCCTTACCTGTGCCCTGCCAACTCTCGTCCTTTTTGGCCTCCACCTGGTGAGAAATGGAGCAAGTGATTTGAAGATCAGGGAACAAAGGGACCCCCTCGGGTCCCTCGAAGTCCACAGCTGGGAGGGCAAAATGAGCAGTGCCACTCAGCAGGATCTGAGGGGCATCAGGCTGGAGCACCACCACGTAGCCCTCCACGTCGGGGATGGAGACACAGGATTCTTCGCTGAAGCACCTATATGAGAAGAGGGAGAGAGGCAGCCTGTGACCCCATCATCCCCTCCCTTATAATCTATATTCTGACTACCACTCTGGGCCTCCACCTCTACAGAGAGCACCCTGTGTCAGGGAGGGAAAGGGGAAGAATGGGGGATAGTGTCTCTGCACGACCATCACCCCCATAGCAAAGCTGGAGGGGGAGATACCCTTTCCAGGGAGGATACCACTGCAGGGAAGGGCCAGGGACAGAAGGTTAGGCAGCCCTGACCTATGGGGATGATGACATCACCAATGCCCTACCCCCAAGACCATGGAACATCTATCAAACAGTATTTTACAAACTGAACTTACAGAAATATATATACATACATAGTTCTTCACCCAAGATGTTAAAAAAAAAAGTGTGTTTCAGTACAATATCTGGTAGATACGTGTCAAAAAATATTCAACAACAGGGCTTCCCTGGTGGCGCAGTGGTTGAGAGTCTGCCTGCCGATGCAGGGGACACGGGTTTGTGTCCTGGTCCAGGAAGATCCCACATGCCACGGAGCAGCTGGGCCCGTGAGCCATGGCCGCTGAGCCTGTGCATCCGGAGCCTGTGCTCCGCAATGAGAGAGGCCACAACAGTGAGAGGCCCGCGTACCGAAAAAAAAAGAAAAAAAAAAAGAAAAAAATATCAAACAAAAAAGGGGGGGGGGGGGTGGGGAGCATATCAAAGGATGCCCTCCAAACTATAATTCAAAAAGATACATACATCCCTGTGCTCATAGCAGCATTATTCACAATAGCCAAGACATGGAAGCAACCTAACTGTCCATCGACGAATGGATAAAGGAGATGTGGTACATATATACGATGGAATATTACTCAGCCAGAAAAAGAACAAAATAATGCCATTTGCAGCAACATGGATGCAACTAGAGATTATCCTACTAAGTGAAATAAGTCAGAAAGGAAAGACAAATATCATAGGATATCACTTATATGTGGACTCTAAAATACAACACGAACCTCTCTATGAAACAGAAACAGAATCACGGACGTAGAGCACAGACTGGTGGTTCCCAAGGGGGAGGGGGTTGGGGGAGGGATGGAGTGGGAGGCTGGGGTGAGCAGATGTAAGCTTTTATACATAGAATGGATAAACAACAAGGTCCTACTGTATAGCACAGGGAACTATATTCAATGTCCTATGATAAGTCATAATGGAAAAGAATATTTAAAAAGCACATATATGTATGTATAACTGAATCATGCTGTACAGCAGAAATTACAACAACACTGTGAACCAACTATACGTGAATTAAAAAAAAAAAAAAAAAAAGGATGTCCTCCTGCTTGGAGTGTCTCCAATTCATCCCCTCCAGCATCAGAGAAACACATTTCAGTAGGTGAGCTAATCTGACCATCTTGGACCTGCATCCACCATCCCATGAAGCCTCGCTGATCCTGGTACCAGACAAACCCTCCCTAGAGGACTGAGCCGGCCCAAACCAACAACAGCACAGCTTCTCGGGGAACACGCTCCCAGGATTGCCTCCAGCCAATCAGTAATTCTCAGAGTGCTTTCTGCTTTGTGAAGCATTTTGTCCACATACTTTCATTTAACCTTCCGTGGCTGCTGTTGCAATAGGGATAAGAAACCAAAGCTCTCGGGTCAAGCATCTTGGCCACATAAGAAATATGTGTCCCGGGCCAGGCTTGAACCCATTCTTCTCATTCCAAGTCCACGATTCTTCCACTAAACCACAGCCACCACGTGGGTTTGCATGAGTCGAATTTATTTGTAAACAAGTGCCCCCTTGGAAGTCCCTGGTGGTCCAGTGGTTAGGACGTGACACTTTCACTGTCCCGGACCCAGGTTCAAACCCTGGTCAAGGAACTAAGATCCTGCAAGGTGCACGGCGCGGCCGAAAAAAAAAAGGAAGTGGCCCTTGAACAAGCAGTCTTCACAGGGGAGGTGGTAATTCCAGAGCAGGGCCTGTGGTCCACACACCCGGGCTAACAGAAATGATTTTGTTGAAAGGACTATCACACACACTACCGAGCAGGCCCAGCTTGACTACTGTAGCCAGAGGGAGAAGGTGTAACCTCAGCGGATTCCATGAACGCAGAGCCCCTGAAAATACCAGACCCACAGTCTGCTGAGCTCCTGTGCCAGAAGGAGCAGGACCTGAGACAGTCTGCACAGTCGTCCAGCGAGACCCGGATCAAAGCCTCCTGGAAAACAACCCCAGCTAACTCTGGAAGCACAGACTCCAACAGACACTCCCACTGTGATGGGTGATCCAAAGGGGACCCAAAAGGTACTAGGGGGCTGGTCCAGACCCGAAGGACACTAATGAACTGGTCAAGAGATTAGAAATGGCACGCAAACCTTAAAACAAGAGCCAACGTGGTCACCATCACACAAACCCACGAGAGTTCGGAGTGGGAGAGGTTGTTTCTGGCTAAGGATGGGAGTGGGGCATTTGGCAAGGGAGGGTAGGAATAATCAAGAGAAGTAGCAAGTGAGCTAGCCTTTGGAGGAGGGCAGAAAGTTGACCCTAGAGTGGAGGGTGAGGAATGCACGAAGGGGAGTAGAGGAACGTGAGGCAGGAAACGCTGGGCCAGATGGTCATGGGCTTTGAGCGCAAGTTTTGTGCAGTGGGCAGGAGGGAACCATGGATGTCTTCTTCAGCAGGGAAGTGTGAGGGTGGACATTCTGATTTCAGATCACTAACCTAGCCTCTGGGTAGAAACTGAACTGAAGTTAGAATACTAGAGATAGTCCACTAGTTAGGAGGCTAGAGCAATAGACCCGATGAGAGGTAATGAGAGCTGCTGGAGATGGAAAAAGAGGAGACAGATGCCAGACATGGGCGCAGAGCGGGATCTAGGTGACCTGGTAACCGATGGGGTGTGGAGGATAAAGACGGAGGAATCAAAGGCGATTCAGAAGCTGCAAGCCGGGGTAACTGCAAGGACAGAGACACCATTACAGAAGCCGAGAATTCAGGGGGAGGCGCTAGTTCAGCATCGAAGTTCATTATTAAGCTTTAGCTCGTTTGTCTGAGGTGCTGGCAGAACTTCTAGATGGAGCTTACAACAAGCAGGAAGAAATTCAAGAGCTACGGAAAGAGAACAAAGCTAGAGAAAAGGATGTGGTAGCCAGATGAGCTTTCCAAGAATCCAAGAGATTAAAAAGAAACAACGACAACTTAGGGGAAACCTGCATTGACTGAATGGCTGCATAAATCTGGCTTTAAATGGACAGAGGTCCAAGCACTGAACACTGGAGGCTGGGGAAGCCACATGGACCAGGGCAAGCATGTGCATCACAGGAAGGAAGGCGCCGCTGGGTATCGGTCTCTCCCTGTTTCTCACACACACACACACACACACACACACACACACACACACACACACCCCTCTATATTTTCTCCTTCAACCTCAAGGAAGTGTTAGGGTAGCACTAACCACATGGTAGCCCTAAAATGGAGAAATGAGACTTCTCTCTTTCTTAACCTCATAAAGCAAAAAGGCCCCTTCCCTCTACTGAAGGAGCAACGTCAGGTTCCCAGTCCTTGGATAAGCCTCTTCCCTGGGCGGGAAAGAGGTTGGAGGAATTCAAATAAGACAGTCAACAAAGAGGGTGTCAACTCCCCCCTTGTGGGGTTGCCCCATGCAGAGCTCCACCCTAAGCCAGAAGACAGAGCCCTCCCTCTGCCGTGACTCCTGAGCCTACGAAGGGGATGAAGCCATTCCTTGGTCCCTGAGGGATGAAGCCCTTCATACCTTCGTAGCTGGGTGAGAGCCCTCTAACAGCTAGAGTTCTGACTAGAACACGGTGGGGCGCATCCTCAGCGCAGATCTGCACCCACGTGACCTCATCTGCCGTGGCCTTCAGCTCCCCACCAGGACCACACCGTGGACCCCCAGCCCAATTCCCCAAAGCCCTGCTCCTGCCTTCCAAAGCTCTGGGAGGCCTGACAGTCATGCCCAGTCACTGTCCAGGGCTCAGAGCCCTCTCCTCTCCAAACCCACCCATGCCAGGATAGGGACAAGTCAGAGATGTTTCTCTTCAGAGAGCTTTTGGAGAAACTGAGGCAGAGCAGGGGAGAAGGGAACACAGAAATCCTGACCCTTACATTATGTGATCCACCCACTGGATGGCAGTAGCTCCTAAAAACTGCCCCATCAACATAATACGGGGTGAAAATGCCTTCATATAACAGTAGCCAGTGTTGACAGAACAGGCACTCCTCTGGGCATTTGATCTGGATGCTATCATTTACCCTCACAACACTTCCATGAGTTAGATTCTATTGTTATCCCTGCTCTATGGCGTTTTCTCAGTGCTAAAAAGCTAGTAAGGGGCTTCCCTGGTGGCGGAGTGGTTAAGAATCCGCCTGCCAATGTCCGGGACACGGGTTCGAGCCCTGGTCTGGGAAGATCCCACATGCCGCAGAACAACTAAGCCCGTGTACCACAACTACTGAGCCCGCGAGCTACAGCTACTGAGCCCGCGTGCCACAACTACTGAAGCCCGCACACCACAACTACTGAAGCCTGCGCGCCTAGAGCCCGTGCTCCGCAACAAGAGAAGCCACTGCAATGAGAAGGCCGCGCACAGCAACGAAGACCCAATGCGGCCAAAAATAAATAAATAAATTTATTTTTAAAAAGCTAGTAAGTAAAAGACTCTGTGTCCATAACTCTTAGGCTTTCATGACCTCTCAGTCTGTATTTTTAAATACCTAATATACTTAAACCTTGAAGTAATGCACAGTTTTTCATTTAAAGAATTCAGAATCCTTCACTTAGAACTCAAAAGTCAGCAAACTTTTTCTAGGAAGGGCCAGACGGTAAATATTTTCGACTTTTTGTACCAGTCTCTGTCCCAGCTACTCAGCCCTGCCATCATAGGGTGAAAGCAGCTCATTTCCATAAACAATATGCAAATGAGCAGCAGGCCAGATTTGTTCCTGGGGCCATCGGCTGCCAATCCCCAGACTTAGATCATCCTGTCTGATCTTGCAAGAGGTGGATGAATCAAGCAACTAGAGGTCTTTGCCCAAGGTCATCCAGAGAACTAGTACTGAGTCAGAATTAGCATCAGGTCTCCTGGCTCCCAGTCCAGTACCCTCTCCTGTCCCACTTACATATCAGCACAGAGACACAGAGATTAAAACCCCCCAAATCCTGGAGGTGTGCTTCAGTGGGAAGAGTCATGAACCCTTTATTGGAAAATCTGAGTCTGGTCCAGGCTCTTCTCCCAGCATTGCTGTGTCAATTGGGCAGGTCAGTTTTTCATCCCTGAAACGAGGGAGGTGTGCCTAGCCGTCGGTGGTGCCTAAGGCCAAGGAGTTCTGACACTGTCTGGCTCTGTTCCGTGACTTGCCCGCCCACCCAACACTCACTTGACGGCAGTAGTGAGGCGCAGGGGTCTGACGCCGGGCGTGGCAAAGCGCAGAGTGTTCATGTAAGCCACATGCTGCAGGGCATGGTTGAAGGTCTCCACATCGTCCCCCTCCAGGGTGAGCAGGGACTGCGAGGGGTTCACGTGGACCTGGGCCCCAGACACAGACAGGGCTGAGAGCACGACCAGAGGCGGGAGAGGAAGGGAGCAGAGGTGGGGGTGGGGAAGGGCGGGGTCAGGGGCCATGCCTGGAGGGAGGGGGCTAGAGGAAGGGGCGATACCTTCATGCCTTTGCCCAGGCTCTCGAAATCCCTATAGTCCAGCCCCTCCCGACATGCATAGAGACACTCGATGACCTCACGGCTCTCCAGGCGACCTGAGCGCACGCTGAAACCAGCCAGGTAGCCGTGGAAGTAGTGGTGGATCGGCAAGGGGTCTCCTAGGGCAGGAACACAGGGGCGGACCAGAGGTGAGAGGAGGCGTAAGAAGAGGGGGCTGAGAGAAAGAGCAGCAGGCTGGAGAAGGGAGACGGAAAGGAGCCAGGTGGAAGCCAAAAGAAGAAAAGATTGATGAGCGGCAAGGGAGGCTAAGGGAAGATGGGACAAGGCAGAGCGAGAACACAGAATAAAACCGGGGGTGGGCGGGGATGGGGGGGAGACGGAGGGCGAAAAATAGAAGCCACGGAAATGAGAAAAGCTTCCGGCAGAGGCAGAAAGAGAAGGAAAGCAGGACCAAAGGGAGGAAAGAGGAGACTCAAGGCAGAAAACGAGGAGAGTGCGCGAGGGGGTCTTCACGGTGCATGCGGGGAGCACCGGGAAGGATGCGCGTGAGCTTCAGGGATGCCCAGCTCTCCCGGCCGCGTGGCTGCCTCCTGCCCTCTGCGCTCTGCCACGCGGAAAGCCAGCAGGAGAACCCTCGACTTCACTCCGTGGGCAGGAAAGGACACCGGCGCCCAGCCCGGCTCCATCTGGCCGCCCTCCCCCGGGCGAGCCCGCCTGGCTGCGATGCTCGGAGGCTCTGCCCCCTGGTGGTGGGCGAGGCGGTGAACGGTGAGGCCGGGTAGGGCCATGCGGACGCTGGAGCGGGAGCCGGAGCCCTAAACTGCGGATGCTAGCTCTCCGGCCTCCAGATCTCACACGCAAGTACCTGCTGTGGCGTCCGTACTGTTGTCGCCTCCCTTTTCCTTCTCTTTGTTCTTCTCCTCTGGGGGAGAAAAAGTGCCAGTGAGCTCAGGGATGTGTGGCCAGATTGACAGAGAGGACGGGGAGGTCTTCCAGGCGTTGCCCCTGCCTGTGTAGGACTTGAACCTCTCTGCTGAATCCCAACCCTCCTTTTGTCATATCTGAGATTATCTCAGGCCTCTGTTATAGACAAACTCCAAATATGCTGCTGAGGAAACACAAGGGCTCTGGTACAACACACACACACACACACACACACACACACACACACACACACCCTCCCAGAAGGAAAAAATGAAAGAAACAGCTTAAAAGTTAGAAGGTTGCTGACTCTCTGCAGGGTTACCGTCCTCCAGGGGGGGAATGGGCTCTGGAATCATCATCACTGGGATGGAACAAAGTGGGAAGTGACTGAAGTTAAAGAAAGATGCTGGTGTTGCCTGAGCAGGAAACGCCTCCAAGTCAGAGGTGATGACCAGTCCAACAGGAAGGACACCTGAGGGGCTGTGGTCTCCTCCCCAAGAGATCTTTCCCGGCCTCCCTGCCCAACTGCAGGGCGATGAGCTCATGAGGTCAGGCTGCCCTTTTGCTCCTCCCTCAGCCGCTGGAGGCCCCAACCATTAGTGCCTCCATGGAGAAGCTCGGCGGGACTTACCAGCCCAGCAGGCCCCAATCATGAGCGCAGGCTCCCGTCGGGGCGGGTGGATGAGACCGTTGTCGTGGATGAGGGCAGGGTCGAAAGAGATGCCATCGGCATAGAGTGTGACCGTGGGGAACTCGAGGTTCAAAGCATAGTGGTGCCACTCGTCATCGCAGACCTGGGGGTGGGGAAGGGCAGGAACCTGTCAGTCACACCATCCCCAGGAATGAACGCAAGGCACCGCCCCACCTCCTGGGAGGCAGGGGACAGTCCCTCGTAGTGCCTGTCCTATCAACAGGTCCTACTGGTGAATTGCTGCCCACCCAGCTAAAGGAGTAATATCCTTGCCCAGAATCTATAAGGCTCCAACCTCGTACCTAAAATTCCACTCTGCAGGTAAACCTTTAAAAGCATCAACATTCCTAAGAGGAGTCGGTCAGCAGGTGCTGTCCATCCCGAGTCCAAACAGAACTAAAAGCTGTGAGTTCCTGTGCCGTTTTCTCCATCTCCATTGCCACCCAATCATTCAAGTCCCCAGTCTCTCTGTTACAACAGTCTCGTCTGAGCACTTACACTCTTAGGTGTCTCCGAGACCTTCCTCGCATAGTTGCCAAAGGGATCTTCTTTTTTTTTTTAATCTTTAAATCACTACTGAATTTAATGTTGTCAAACTTAGTATTCATTAACAACTCATTACATTTGAAAAGACTGGATTCTCCTCACTTCACAAATGTTCCCAAATATAAATGACAATTGTTGAAAAACCATAGCTAATTGCAAATTAAATAAATTACTTGTAACCAAATCTTTTCTGAAGCAAAATTAGAAAAATCCTTCCTATTTTTGCAACAAAAAAAAATTTTTTTTTTTTTTTGGCTGCGTTGGGTCTTTGTTGCTGCCTGCAGGCTTTCTCTAGTTGCGGCGAGCGGGGGCTACTTTTCGTTGCAGTGCGTGGGCTTATTGCGGTGGCTTCTCTTGTTGCGGAGCACCGGCTCTAGGCGTGTGAGCTTCACTCGTTGCAGCTCGCGGACTCAGTAGGTGTGGCTCGCGGGCTCTAGAGCACAGGCTCAGTAGTTGTGGCACACGGGCTTAATTGCTCTGCGGCATGTGGGATCTTCCCAGACCAGGGATCGAACCCTTGTCCCCTGCATTGGCAGGCAGATTCTTAACCACCACGCCACCAGGGAAATCCAAAAGATTTGTCTTTAATTTGAGAAATACATCCCAAATTTGGTGGAGGAGCACCTTCAAAATTTAAGATTTTTTTTTAATTGGAGTGTAGTTGATTTACAATGTTGTGTTAGTTTCAGGTGTACGGCGAAGTGAATCAGTGATACATATACATATACAAAGGGATCTTCTTACAATGTAAATCTGATCAGGTCACGTCCCTGCTGTAAACCCTTCAAAAGACTTATAGGACAAAATCCAAATGACCCCAACTAACAAAGTCCACCATACACCTGATTACTGTCCAGCTCTCCAACCTCAAATCCAGTCTCTGCCCTTGTTCACTGTGCTCTAACTCCCTGGTCCTCTTTCCGTGCTTGCAACATCTCGATCCCTTTCCTGCCTCAGGGCCTTTGCATCTGCTCTTCCCTCTGCCTGGAACTCTCTCGCACAGCTCTGTCTCATCCTTCAGGATGAGCTTACGTTTCACTTCTATCAGACCTTCCCTGAGCAGCCAATCTAAAGCGAGTTCCCTTCTCCTTGCCTCCTATTCTCTACCTCAGTCCCTTGCTTCTTCTTTCACAGCATTTATCACAATTTATCATGTTTATATGTCTGCTTACTTTTTAAAAATCTATCTCCTCAACTAAAATGTAAGCTCCATGAAGGCAGAGATTTTGTTCCATCTTAGACCCCATTGTATCCCCAGAACCTAGTAGAATGGCAGGGAATTGGTATTTACTAAATCTTTGTTGAATAAATAAGGGTAAATAAAAGAAAACTAGAAAGAGGAATGTTACCAGTATTAGCAACGTGGGAGAAAGATCCAGAAGAAGCAAATGGCAGAATATCTCTTTAGAAGAGTGCCACAACAGGACAGGAATAAAGATGCAGCCATAGAGGAGAGACTTGAAGACACAGGGAGGGGGAAGGGTAAGCTCGGACAAAGTGAGAGAGTGACATGGACATATATACACTACCATATGTAAAATAGATAGCTAGCGGGCAGCAGTCACATAGCACAGGGAGATCAGCTCGGTGCTTTGTGACCACCTAGAGGGGTGAGATAGGGAGGGTGGGAGGGAGGGAGACACAAGAGGGAGGAGATATGGGGACATATGTATATGTATAACTGATTCACTTTTTTATAAAGCAGAACTAACACACCATTGTAAAGCAATTATACTCCAATAAAGATGTTAAAAAAGATAAAAAATAAATTAAAAAATAAAAAAAAGAGTGCCACAAAAAGCAGCTTTTGGAGACAGCCCTCAATTATCCAGTTTGTGGGTTTTCGTTCCCCTTTTTCTCTCTCTTCCACTTCCTGCCTTTTTTCAGCCATTTGCTTACTCAGCCACTCCACCGGGGCTTACAAGAAAAACAGAAGGAGTTGGAAACACAGTTCATCCCCACGGTCCCTGTGGTCAGCTGGGAGAACGAATAAAGAAGAGGCTGCAACTCTCGGCTCAAGAGATTTTTCTTTTCTTTTTTCTTCTTTTTTGCCCATTTTTATTTATCCCTCATAACCATGAAAATAGTGAGATTTATATACATATATATATATATGTGCATGGATACATAAATATACACACACACACACACATATATACTGCTTTTTAGTCTATAAAGGTCTATTACATCATTTAATCCTACAACAACCCTGGGATATAGAATTCTTATTATCCTCAACTCATACGTAAAAAAAAAACTGAGTTGTAAACACATTAACCAAGATTTCATGGCTAGGAAGTTCCCCTAGCGGGACTCAAACCTAATCTATGTACCTCAGATTACTTATTTCCTCAATTACAGCATGCTAACTGCTTAAGAGTCAGGCATCTGCACTGGTAAGGTTCTAGATAAGAAACAGATGAAAGAAAACAAGAGGGGAAAGATGGTTGGTCGGGTTTGGTGTTCGAAGTAATTTGTTCCCTACTTCCTTTTAATCCAGGAGTGCTTTCTGCAAGAGACAAGCCTTGGAAAAAGAGAACAAGAAAACGGAGCCAGGGCGGGGGGCAGGGAGGTGTAAAAATAGTCAGGAACTGAAAGTGGAGATTGAAAGAAGGGACACAGGGCAACCCAGAAAATGCCCACCCCTGCCCTAGGACCCCCTCGCCTGAAAGCAAGTTACATCCACCCAGCTTTCCCAGGAGCCTGGCTCCGGCCTCACCTGCTCCAGCTTCCAGAGGAACTTGACTGGCCGGGCACTCTCCAGCAGAGGCCAGTAGAGGAAGGCAATTCTGCAGCCGTGGACGGTCAGCGAGTAGTGAGAGAAGCCGTCCTCTGAGGGCAGAGGATGGGGACAGAGGTCAAACACAAAGCATGGGCAAAAAAAGCTTCAAAGCACCAGGAGGGAGGGGATGCCGGATTCTCTTCATCTCTTCAGGTTCTCTCTCTCTCTCTCTCTCTCACACACACACACACACACACACACACACACACACACACAGAGTCCAGTGTCGGGCTTCTCTTGGGCACTCTGACTGGCTGAGGGGGGACACTGGCCAGCCTGCCCCCACTCAGATCTTTACCGGTCCTTTGGTTAATACAAACTTCATGGGCAACACTCCTTTTCAGGTCAAGAGAGATGAGCAAAAAAAAAAAAAAAGACAAGGGGCAGAAATGAAAGAGGATGTGAAGGCTGAGCCCCTCAAGAGGGCTGTGCTACTGCCATAGAAGGCAGAGGGGTCCTGGGGGCTGGAGCCCACTAGCCCTTAAAGAAGGAGGATGGGGTGGTGGAAGAGGAAGAATGGGGCACAGCATTACTCAGGCTGTGACGGGGGGCTTTAAGGGGAGCAGGTCTGGGGGGCAGTCTGCTACACGTGGATGCAGCGTGATGAGGCAGCTGCAGATGAGACGGGCGATGAGGGTTCCATCACTCTGAGAGCAGTAGGATCCCAGCTTGTCATGCTGGGAGTAAATCACAGCAATACGAAGCCTAGCGCTGCTCTCTTACAGATGAAGAGAGAGGAGTGACGCGTCCACAGTCACAGACTGGACGGTGACAGAGGCAGGACCAGAAGCCAGTCTCTCCACATGCAGACGGGTGCCCTAGGGAAGGCTCACCGTTTGGGACAGTGTGACACACGATGGTTTCCTCTTCCTTCTTGCCCTTGCTGGGGGTTACACCGTGCTTCATCCACAAGGACAGGGTAAAATGGTCACTGAGGCTGTCCTGGGGCCCGGAGCCCAGCCCAGCGGTGCCACCCAGTGGCACCTGCACAGCTTGGGTGCCGTTGAACCAGTAGATAAGGCTGCTGTCCTGGCTGTAGTGCACCGAGAGGCCCGCCGTCCAGTTGGCATTGGGGCCGGGCATGGGCAGCAGATCCACCTCCCCAGGGGCCGCGCCTGCCGGAGCCCCAAAAGGCACAGGTGTCAGAGCGGAGAGGCAGCAGATGGGGAACAGGATATGCAGGCAGGGAGAGAGGGACAAGGAAAGATTTCCCACAGCTACGCTCACCGCCTCTTCTGGCCTTTCAGAGATGAGAAAGGAATGGCTAGGAATAGCTCTCCAGTGACCTCAACTCCAACTCGTCATCTCTCCCTGCCATTGTCCCATAATGTATCTGGTGCCTCTCTTGGGCCACAGTTATGCATCTTTGCCACCCACATATTTATGTGCTCTTTGGACCACAAGAGATAGCCACATGCCGGCAGATATATACATCTATGGATGGGCAAAGGAAGATGTAAGACAGATTCAGTATTTCTGTTTTTGGTTTTGGCCATAACGCACGGCTTGCAGGACCTTAGTTCCCGGATCAGGGATGGAACCTGCTCCCTCTGCAATGCGAGTGCAGAGTCCTACCCACTGGACCGCCAGGGAATTCCCAAGACAGATTATTAAGAAAGAGGCAGAGGAGTTTCAGGCAGAGGCTGGGGGTAGGGGGCACAGGGGACAGGCCCGGGGAGCCAAGGGGAGCACACCCACCACAGAGTTTCCTCAGTGCCCGCTCTGAGTAGTTGTCACGGTCACAGCCCTTGGCCACATGGTTGGTCTGCAGCTCTATGGTGGCCTGAATGTTCCAGAGAGGTTCATCACAGGTCTCCAGGCGGATACCAGGGAACAAAGCCAAGCTCCCGGCGCCTGGTGCATATTCAATCCTTTTGTTCCAGCCTGCAGGGGTGAGAGGGAGCTGGCAGTGGAGATGGAGATGGGCAAGGCAGCCCCTCCTATCCATTCTGCTCCGGCCACATCCACGGACAGTCTCGGGCTCCTACGAAAATAGCCAGCCAGGGTAGGCAGCTACAAGCCTTCCCCAAATATCCCTCCCCTGACTCCTAGCCTAACCCCTGTGGTTGTCAGAAGGGATGCAAAGGGACACCAAGGTGAAAGATGGGTTACAAGACAGGTCCCAGAGCAGAGCTCCTCACCTTGCCAGCTGGGTTTACAGGTCGGCTTCACCTGGATCTCCACCTCAGCGTCATCCACCGCCCGCTTCTTCCCGCAGTCATAAGCCGTCACCGTGAACTTGTAGAGCTTCTCGCCACTGTACTGCAGCTTCTCCGTGTTCTCAATGTTCCCTGGGGTGGGGGTGGGGGATGGAGAGGGTCAGGCGCACTAGAGAAAGTCTGGGGAGGACTTGTGAGCCAATAGGGCAGCAGGTGAATTAGACAGCGGGAAGCTGGGAGGAAGGAATCTAGGGAAGGAGGCTCCACATCTGGGAAGGAGGGTGAGGAATGAGGATGTGAGGGACAGAAGTGGAGGGCACAGCCCCGAGATGTCCTGAGGGACGCAGGCGCCCAGGGCGGAGCAGCTGGGGTGGCAGGCGCTCACCATCGTTGTCGATGAGGAAGGGGGTGTTGGGCGTGAGAATCTCGTAGTAGCAGATCTGGCTGTACTGGGGGGAGCAGTCGCCATCGATGGCCTCCACCCGCAGGATGCGGTCGTACAGCTTCCCCTCGGTCACGGCCGCGCGGTACAGCCGCTCCACAAACACTGGGGCAAACTCATTCACGTCATTGACTCGCACGTGCACGGTGGCCCTGCAGGTGCCAGAGCGGGAGGAGGACGAGGAAAAGTCAGCCACAACTAGGAGTCCAGACAGGGAAGCAGAGCAGGCAGGACCAGCAGGTCCTGGAGCCCGGGGCAGTGGGCACGCTCATCCCCCCAGCCAGGGCACCAGGCACAGCAAGGGACAGGCACCACCGGGGAAAGGGTGACTGATGTACGGGGTGAGGAACGACCCCAGGAGATACCAGCGGCCCATTTTGATGACTTCTATACAGAATGCTATAGGTTGGGGACAGCCACGCGAGACAGAGGATTCTGTGTCCAGCCGGTTATTCCTTCATGAGAGTCAAATCCAATGGGATAATCAAGGAAGATGCAGGGGCTTCCCTGGTGGCGCAGTGGTTAAGAATCCACCTGCCAATGCAGGGGACACGGGTTCGAGCCCTGGTCCGGGAAGATCCCACGTGCCGCGGAGCAACTAAGCCCGTGTGCCACAACTGCTGAGCCTGCGCTCTAGAGCCCGGGAGCCACAACTACTGAAGCCCAGGTGCCTAGACCCCATGCTCCACAACGAGAAGCCACCGTGATGAGAAGCCAGCGCACCACAACGAAGAGTAGACCCCCGCTCGCCGCAACTAGAGAAAGCCCGCGTGCAGCAACGAAGACCCAACACAACCAAAAAATAAATAAATAAACCTTCTTAAAGGAAAAAAGGAAGATGCAGAATAAAAACCAAATTAAAAGCAAACACATTCAGGGAAGTGGCATTTGTACCAGAGTCACAAGTCATCTGACGTGTGCAGTGAGCAAGCCGGCCGTGCCCCCTCCCCCGGGGCAAGCAGAGGTTGGGGAGGGGCTAAGCCCTTCATGCGGAGCCCTGCCCCCAGCCCAGATCCTGGCACCCAGGGCCCAGAGGCAAGGGTTCTGTCTCTAAATGGGAAACTGAGTCATCACAAGGAGTGGTTTATCTCTAGTGCCTCGTAGTGGCCCAGGAGTCCTGACTGCCCATCTTCCTCCCATTCTCGAAGGAGAAGTGAGCTGGGAACAGATGTCGGAGCCCTGGGCCCCAGCCTTCTTCCCGCCGTAGCCATCTCCTGCCCACCCTCACCCACTGCTGTGTGTGCGCATGCTCTGTGTGTGAGTGTGGCACACGCTGCAGACGGCTGGACGGTCGGAAGGAATGTGGGTGTGCGCTGACTGTACCGTCCTCTTCCTCGTTCTCTCAGCATCCTGACTCCGGGTACTGAGCCCTTTCAGTGTCAGGCACTGCAGCGCCTGCTTTTTATACAAACCATCTCCTTTCATCTCCACAGTAACCTGAAGAAGTAGGCATCACCATCACCCCATTTTACAGACAAGGAAAAGCAAATCCAGAAAGGCTAAGAAGTTGCCCAAGGTCACAAGAGGCAGAGCCAAGATTAGATCCCACTGAGTTCTACCACGTGCTTCTGTCCCCTTGGCTGAAGGCTCCTGGACGACAAGGCCCCGTCCCTAAACCCCAGGAGCAGAGAGGGGAGGGGGTAGATAGTCAGTGACGGCGAGGACAGAGGATGGTGAGGGGCCTGGGAGGAGGTGGGGGGCCTGCAGCAAAGGGCAGGGGACAGGAGCGTCCTCACTTGTGGGACTTCTTGGTGTTAGCCCCGTCGGGGCCCTCGCCGCAGTCATAGGCCTGGATGGTGAAGGTGTGTTCCTTCTGGGCCTCGCAGTCCACGGGTTCCTTAGCCCGGATCAGCCCTTCTCCTGTCGCCTTGTCCAGGATCACGGCCTCAAAGGGCACCCCAGACCCATGGAGCCGGAAGCCACAGATCTCGCCTGGCCAGAGGGGGAGGGAAGGACGCAGCTCCTGCACCACCTCCAGGGTCTCCTTCCCACACTCGCCAACCCCCCTCAGGCTCCCACTTCACCTCTCCTTCCAAACCCCTGTCCCTTCTCTTGCACATGGAAAAGCATTCATTATCAGACAATCAGCTCCAACACCAGCTTCCCTGAGTGGCAACCTCTCAGAGCCCCCAGGTCTGAGACCTGGCAAAGTCTGACTGCGTTGACCCCCACCTGCCCACGTCCTCCTCTCTGGCCCCCTTTATTTTACCACTGTTCCTCGCTGTGGCCCGTTTCCTCCTAGAGTCTACTTCTTCCTCTTCCCCCACGTCCTCACTGCTCTCCCTCCCAGGACCTCCCCTCTCCTCCCTTGCCCCTGCCCTCCCACCCACTTCTCTCTATCCTACCCGCCCTCCTCTGCCCCAACCCCACTTACCTGCATAGCGCAGGGGGGCATCCTTGTCCAAAGCAAAGAGTGGTGGGTTCAGCAGAACAGTGTTGTCGTTCTCCATGACGATGCCCTGGTATTCCGCCTCGATCCATGGCTTGTGCTTGTTGGCTGCCCCGCCCCAGGGAGAGGAAAGGAAGCACCTGTGAGCTGGCCCTCCACCTCCAGACAACACACTCCAGCATCACCACCCTGTCCAGCCCCTGCAGAAGCACCTGCAGGAGAAAGGACTGAGGACAAGAAATCAGCCATGAAGGGAGTCAGAGGGTCTGCGGGAGGTCACAAGATAGACAGTTTCCATGGCCACAGCCTGCCCTGGGGGGAGGGGGACTGCCATGTCCCCTGGGAAACCTGGTCAGAAGGTGGAGACTTTCTTTAGGGATTTCAAGAGCTAGAGTGTGGACACCGGGCCTTCAGGGAGCAGTGGTGGGCCATCAGAAGGCCCTGGAAAAGGGAAGAGATAGATTAAGGGCAGAGTTGAGGTTAGGAAAAGCAGACTAGAAGCTTCCTGAGATCCTGATTGTTTATCATCTCCACCACCACCACCCCATTTCAATCCTGATCCCTTCTTCTCCCGGCCAAGCCCCATCCTAAGGCCATTCTCCCAGAGGAGAGGGAAGAGGAGAAAAGAGAGAAGGGAAAATATATAGGACAGAGGGAGGAGGACAGAGAGAGGCAGGGATGGAGCAGAGGAATCAATGCTGAACGGCTGGGCCGAGCAGAGCCGACATCCTCAGGGATTATCGAAATGGCCTAGAAACACGACAAATCCTCTCCCTGCTTCTCACCCTCACACCCAGAGAACACACTCCTAACCAACACGGTCCTATGTCCCCCAGAAGGCCACCCAACCCCACACTCCCTGAGCCCCGCTCTTATACAGACTCATGGCTGAGTCCTAATTCTCGCCTACCCCACCCCTCTTCCCTTCAGCCACCAGCCGATCCACAATGGATGTGGGACTCACTCAGCCTCCAGATCTCCCCATCTGCTACCAGACTCAACTCAATCACGTCTCCTCCCCAGGACCAATCTCCCACCAGCCTGGTGAGGGGCTCCCTTCCCCTCACCAACGCCAACCTCCACGGCCTGCTCTATTGGATCCCATCAAGCCAACCCCTAAGCTCCCAGAGTACATCCACGATGGCCCATCAGCGAGACCTGGGCAGAGGAAGACATATCATCAGAGGGAAACTGAGTCTCCAAAAGGAAAGTCATCCCCAGTATGTCATGGTGAGCAAGCAATCCTGATTTCCATTCTTTCTTCCAGTGACATCCCCCAAAGCCTTCTGGTATCTGAATGCCGGCCCCTTCCTCGCGGAGGACCCACCATGACCCCCTTCTCTAGTGGCAGAGGAGAAAGCCACAAGATGGTGCCCAGAAGCCAACACAGGAAGTGGCAGGAGGCTCGGAAGCCGGCTGAGGTCAGAGACTGAGCCGAGGATGGAGGGGCTGCGCACAGCTCACGCCCCACCCCACCCTTCTGCTGCCTTCCTCTCGGCCCCCGACTCTCTCCTTGTGTCCATCTCCTCTCACTGACTCCTGGGCTCCCTGTCTTCTCCCTCCTGGACTCTCCCCTCCCCCTCTCCTCACCTGTTCTTCCTGATTTCCCTTTCATTCCTCTCTCTCTCTCTTTTTTTTTTTTTGGCCTCCACCTTGACCCTGGTCCACCCCCTTCTCATCCCCTCCCACACCTCATCTCCCTTCTCCTTCTCCCTTCCCCTCTCACCACTCAATTAACACTCCCAGACACCCACCTCTGCCCTTCCCTGCCCGTCTCCACCTACTTGAGCCCTCGGCCCCCACCCCCTCCCTCCCTCCTGGTCCCTCAGACGGCCTCACCCAGCTGAATTTATCTGCTGTCTGCAGAGAGGGCAGCTCTGGTAACCCTCGGCCCAGCTGCATGCAGACGGAAGGTTACGGATGCAGAGGAACACGCCAAAACATACGTGCTCCGAATCGCTGAGCTGCAGGGAACAGTTTCTCCCCAGGATGGATGGAGAGGAACCAGATGGATGTGCTACACACCCTCAGCCCCGGCACACCCTGGTGAAAACGGAGACCCGCCCAGAGATGTGTATCGCCCCTCAGGGGCAAGTTCTTCTGAGACCTGAGATAGCTCCAGGAGGGAGAAATTGGGGGAGGGGGAGAGAGAGAGCCCAGGATGGGAATGGGGACCAAATGGGAGCAAGAGAAGCACATGGGTAGAGATGGACCGGAGAGGAGGATGTGGGAAGGGGGATGCGAGGGAGAAGAGAAGGCGGCAGGTCTGAGAAAACGGATGGGAAGGGAGGTGGTCTGAAGAACCACCTGTCATGGGCCAGGGAGCCTTAAGGGCTCCTGCCCACCCCGACCGCCCCCCTCCGCCCTGCCTGAGACCCCTCCTTCAGTGCCCCCGCCCCCCGCCTCACTCACCTTTGTTGCAGGAGCTGGAGGGGAGCCGGGAGCCGAGCAAGAGGAACAACAGCAGGAGGGTCATGGTGTGGCGCGGGCAGCGCCGGGCCCCGATCGCTCTCCCCCGGGAGCCTCAAGCCCGCGTATTCCACCTTGGGGGAGGGATGCAGGGGCTCTCCAACGAGGGGAGGGAAGAGAGCAGGCAGCAGGGCAGAGACGGAAAGGAGCCTGCCGCCCACCCTAGTCCATAGAGCAGACCTGAGCAGCCCCCCAACCTGGGCGGCTGAGGTGGGGGACTGGCAGTGGCTTCTTCTCCTTCGCTCTGGAGCCCCGCGTCCTGGCTCTTTCTCTCATGCCCACCCCATCCCCGCTACTGCAGGATGACGTCAGCACGGCCAGGCGAGGATTGATGGGGCCGCTGGCCAATCGGGTGACTGGTGGGGGGGCAGGTGCTGCGGGGGGGTGGGGGTGGGAACCAATGGGACCGGAGAGCAGGGTTGGGAGAAGGTGTTAGGGCTTTTTCCCCTGACTGCAATCTGGGGGGGCAAGGGAACTGCGGGGGCTGGGGAGGAAGCTGGAAAGCCGTAGAGGGGGTGGGAAAAAAGAAGGCCATGGGGAGAATGAAGAAGCGAGATGCCCGGGGGTGGGGAGAGGAGACGTCAACGGAGACCTGAGGGAGGCGAGGAGGGACAGCATCCACGTCACCCCACCACCATCACCAACTCTGCATTAACCTCTTTTCACAGCTCATTCCATCAGCAAGTCCCTGCTGGGTGCCTCCTGGGAACCTCGCAGTCAAACCCACCACCTGACCCCGACCTATGCCAGCATTTCATTTCCCAGCCGCAGGTCTCTGAGGAAGCCACGGGGTGGGCAGCCGGGCCGTGGACCCGGCTCTGGGACCGGAGGAAGAGCGAGATATTTGCGCTCACCCTCCCTCACCCGCTCGCCCCAAATTTCCCACCTTAAACCCTGATGAACCAGCCCAGTTGGTTCTGAAGCCAGGGAGGCTGGTGGGTTCGAGAGGCAAAGAAGAGTGCGCGTCGGGGGGAGGGGGCAGGGAGTGCGGGGCGGGGCACACAGTAATTGAGGCGCACCGCCCCCCGCAATGGGAGTACATCTGGTAAGCGTGGGCTGGCCAACGGCTGGGGACGCGGGTGGCTGACGGTATCATCAGTGACTCCAAAAGGAGAGGGGAACCTCTGGGTCCCAAGCCAAAGCGCGTAGAATTCTCCCGAACAGCCAAGCGACTCCTCCCTCACCTTCTGCTCCAGCCAGACTTTGTCAGGCCGCTGACGGCCCCCTCTGCAGTTTCTCTGCCCCCCTCTTAATGCTCCTATAGGACAGAGTCTGGAAAGCCAGTGTCGGGGGCCCCAGCTCAGCGACACTGTCTGAAGGAGCTGTAGGGGCCAGCGCTAGAGGGTTTTCCTCACTGGGGCTCCCGGCCAGCTGGCTGTCCCCCCTTCTTTCCCCACCTCCTCCCCCTCATACCTTTCGGGATCCCCGACTCACTCCAAGATCTCAGGATATTGTTAGAACTCACCCTTGGGTGAGTCTGAAAGGGCGCCCCCCTCCACCCAGCAAGACCAGCTCCCTCCCAGGAGAGGCTGACTCTGGAGTCTCAGGACGGTTCCCAAACCTGCCAGAAATGGGCTGAAAGCCAAAACCGACCTTCGGGAAGGCTCAAGTGTAGCCTGACCGACAGCCCCAGATCCTGGTCCAGGTTCCTTCCTCAGGAAAAGCCGAGGTCAGGCAAAAACTTGCCAAGTCCCTGCCCCTCTGTGGAGCTGCAGACACCAGCCTCACACTCATCACCTGGGGGTGGGGGGGGGGGGAGAAGGAGGGAGTCTGGCAGGAACTCTTACTGCAACAGGGCCTCAGCTCTATAAACACCCTGGTAGCACAGACCTTACACAAGCTGCCTCTGTGTGTGCAGAGGCTGGCCAGGAGTCTCCCAGCCCCACCTGTCGGATGACACCCCCTCCCTCCTTGCCCTGCCCCCTCTATTCTCCTGAAATCTTGACCTCCACCTTGGCCAGCCTGGACCATGCCTCCCAACCTCACCGGCTACTACTGCTTTGTCTCGCAGAAGAACTTGGAGAGCTACCTGCAAGCTCTAAGTAACCGCCTCACCCCTCCCGAGGCCTTTCACTCCCGTTCTCCCCTCTCCCTTCCTGCCTCCAGTCCCACTGAGGAGGGGGGATGCGAGGGTCCGACATCGTGGAAAGGCTGGGGGTCGGGGGGCTGGGCTCCTCTTCTAGCCAGGGGCATTGCTAGGAAGGAGTAAATCCACAGTCCCAGACCCAGCCCAGGGGATGCTCCCAGCTCCAGGCTGCTGCTGCAGGTGGAGGAGGCCCTGGCCAGCTGGCTAAAAGGACCCTTGTCCTAAGAGGACAGCCTCCATAGACATCAACATGGCTCTGCGGAAGATCGCGCCGCTGCTCAAGCCAGATGAGGAGACTGACCATCGGGGCAACCACGTGACAGTGAAGACCCTCAGCACCTTCCGAAACTAAGCTCTGGAATTCGAGGTGGGAGTGGAGTTTGAGGAGGACTTGAGGATCACGGAGGGACGGAAGCTCCAGGTACCTTTTCTCAGGCTGGCGGGGAGCGGGTGTGGATGGGCAGGGGGCACTTAACAGAGTGGGGCAAAATAAAGTGACCTTTCCCATCCAGAGCTGGGAAGTGATGACCACAGCAGGCTACGAAGTCCCTGGGATAGCAGGCTCCTGATGTTGCCCACCCAGCCCCCACTCCCTCCACCTTCTCCCCTGCCCCCTCTTAGCACCAGCCAACAGGGCAAAAGGGGCAGGTCACCCTCAGGCCAATGAGCGAACATGTGCTCACCCTCTAGCCTGTGACCCTGCGGACACCACAGTCTCTCTTCCCTCAGCCTCTTTAACTCCACTCTGGTGCAGTCCTTTCTGCTTCTTACGTGTTCCTTTTGGCCTCCTTTGCAGACCCTAGTTCCCCTATTAATCCCTTAAACTGGGAATTTCCCCCCAGTATTTTGTTCTTGACCTTCTCTCTCTTGTCTGTATACTATCCACGGGCTAAATCATCTACACCCATGTGTTCGGTTACCATCTATAAACTGCCTTGGACACAGATTCTCCTGCCAGAGGCACCACCTGAGCTCCAGGGCGGAGTTTCAACTGCCTGCAAAATGTTTCCATCTGCATGCCCCAAGGTCAAACCCAAAGTTCTGATCTTCCTACACAAACCTATTCCTGCTTTTATATTTACTGTCTCCATCAGTGTCAACAACCAGCAGGACCAAGTCATTACCTTGTGTTGGTCCTGCCGGCTGTTGTCACAATCATTACCTTGTGTTCCCTTACCTCCATGCTCCCAACACGTGCACGTGTGTGCACACACACACGCATGCACACGTGCACCACATGTAATTGGTCAGGAAGCCTGTGTAACTTTTCTGTGCTGTCCAGTGTGGTAGCTACTAGCCATATACAGATATTGAACATTTGAAATGTGCTATCGGTGTGAAATACACACTGAATTTTAAAGACAATACCAAAAAAGAGTGCAAAACATCTCAGAAATTTTATATTGATTACATGCTGAAATTGTAATATTTTGGATATTTTAGGTTGAATAAAATATATTATTAAAATTAATTTCACCTGTTTCTTTTTGCTTTTCTAATGTGGTTACTAGAAATTTTTATAATTATATATGTGGCTTGCATTTAAGACCTACTATACTTCCATTGAGCATCACTTGTTTACATGGCTCTTATCTGTTCCTTCCTAACCCTTCTCTTTGTCACCACCTTATTTCAGGCCCTCATTTCTCATCTGGTGCCCAGTCTTGACCCTCCTCTAATCCACTCTGGCTACTGTAGCCTCAAGGATCTATCTAAAATGTAAAAATGGGGTTTCCCTGGTGGCGCAGTGGTTGAGAGTCCGCCTGCCGATGCAGGGGACACGGGTTCGTGCCCCGGTCCGGGAAGATCCCACATGCCGCGGAGCGGCCGGGCCCGTGAGCCATGGCCGCTGAGCCTGCGCGTCCGGAGCCTGTGCTCCGCAACGGGAGAGGCCACAGCAGTGAGAGGCCCGCGTACCGCAAAACAAACAAACAAACAAAAAAATAAAATAAAATAAAATAAAATGTAAAAGTGACCACGACACTCCCTGACTTAAACCCTTTCAGTGACATTTTGTTACATTCCAGGTAAGGTCCGTACACTCCACATTTCATCCAAGGGCCTCCACACAAACATACGGGGTTAGAGCCCCTCACAGCTACCTACTCTTCTTTCTTACCTCTACACTGTTTCTATCCTTGCTAGAAAGTTCCCATCATCTCCAATCTAATTCACTGCCTTGAAGACGCACTCCCTCCCCACTCCCACCGTCAACAGTCTTGCCTGGTATCACAGATACCTACCAACTGTTCCTCTATCTGATCAAGATTCTGAGCTCCCTGGGAATTCCCTGGTGGCCCAGTGGTTAGGACTCGCACTTTCACTGCCAGGGCCCTGGGTTCGATCCCTGGTGGGGGAACTAAGATCCCATAAGCCGCGTGGCACGGCCACAAGAACAATCCGTAAGATTCTGAGCTCCTTGTTTAGGGGGGCCTGTCCTATTGGGGGGCCTAACAATGGTGATTGGAAGGTCCAGGTCCACCCAGCTCTGATTTAGGGGGTTGATCCTTCATTCTCAGGGACACTGCAGCTGCCCTCGAGACTGAGAAAAAGGAGAAAAGAGATTCCCTGGTTGGCTCCCAACCAATCTCCCTTCTTTCCCCAAATCTCCTCCAGGTCAGCCAGAAGTGACAGAGAACAAATTCTCCACGCTTCATCCCCTAACCCCCAATTTCACGCCCCCCCATGATCCTGCCTCATCCCTGCTCTGCCCAAATGGTCACTGTCACAAACAGTGACCTTTAGGAGTGGGGGACGGGAGTCCTGGAAGGAAGGGACGGGAGCAAGACAGTGTCTGCTGGAGGCAAAGCAGGCAGCCCAGCCAGAGTGAGCTGGATGCATTTGGGATGTCCTGCCCCCCAAGTCTTCCTTTATTCCCGCCTTCCCCCATAGACCACTGTCACCTGGGAAGAGGAGCAGCTGGTATGTGTAGAGAAAGGGGAGGTCCCTGACTGGGGCTGGAGACACTGGCTGGAGGGAGACACGTCGTATCTGGTGAGCAGGGTGAGGGCTAGGAGAGGAGACGCAAGTGGGTGTGTCTGAGAGGGGGCCCTCCAGCTAGGATGCATGCCCTTACTCAAATCAAGTCCGTCTGCTACTCCAGCCTCGCCTCCCTTCAAGGAAGGCAACTAAGGAGGGAAAACAGAAGCCCTGGAAAGAGTGGAGAGAGGGAGAAGTGGAGTGGCCAAGGTGGGCCCTGGTTGTAAGTCAGACGCATGTCCATAAATCATGACCAGAGACCTGGAGACTTAGCCACTTCAGTTCCCTGACCCAGCTACCTTCCTTCCTCTGGGGTGGAAAGCTGAGGGTCTGCAACAACAATACAATTCCCCATACATCGAGTGCTCTAGCTGATGCATCCTGAAGGATTCAATGGAGGTCAAGGACCTCGAGAAAGGGGCTCAGCTGGCAAGAACCTTCTCTGTCCTCATCATTCCTACTCTATCCCCAGGAGATGACTGCAAGGGATGCAGTGCATGAGCAGGTCTTCAGGAAGGTCAAGTAGCTGGAGAGGAGCTGAGGACCC